CCTCCGACGCCTCCTCCCGGGGGAGCCCCTGGGATAGGCCTCCCCGCCCCTCTGTGCGCGGCTGCTGGCGAATCGGAGGGGTCCCTGAGCTCAAGAGCCCAGAGCTCCCTGCCATGTCTGGGGAAAGGAATGAGGGGTCTGTCTGCGCCCACCGTGGCTGGGGGTGGGGGTCAGGACGGGGGTGCGGCTGGGCCTCAAGCTGGTGGAATGTTCCAGGGCCAGAGGGGCTCTCTAGGGAGCTCCCCGTTCATGTCTAACTTCAGCCTCTGCGTGTCCCCCCGCCCCCATCCCAGGGGGAGGAGAGTGGGAGAGCAAGAGCGAGGCCGACCGGAGGGGGTTCGCTGCCCACCCCATACCCAGATGCCCCCCTAGCGTGGAGGGCAGAGCCATGGCAGGGCCGGAGGGTGGGCGGAGGGCGGAGGGGCCTCTTCTGCCCCAGGGTCCCCAGAGGGTGGTGTCAGCGCCCGCCTGGCGGGTGTGTTTGTGGTGTGACAGCTCTCAGGAATCCCCAGGGAAGATTGAGCACCAGCAGGTGGGCCCTGCGCCCCCACCCCCTCCCGGGGCCCAGCCTGAGCCCAGGGTGGCAGGAAGCCTGAGGGCTGTCGGGGCTCCTCGCCCAGGAGGGGAGGGCAGTTGCCGAGGAAAACAGGGTTTGGAATTCCAGTCCCCCTCCCCCGCCGGCCGCTTGCCAAGACAGAATTATTTTGGATTATCCAGCCGTGTCCAGCCACCCAAGGGGGAGGCCGCAGCCTGGAAGAGGGATCCACTTCCGGGGCTGTGGGTTGAGAGCCCCGGGAGGAAGAGACCGGCTAGTCTGGGCAGCTCCCCCTCCCCCAGGCAGCTCAGCTCCGAGGCTGCTCCGACCGGTCATGGGGGGGCGGGGTGGGAGGGGATGCGTCACCCTCGGGTTGGAGAACGCCCAGGGGTGGCCCCAGCAGCTCGCGGAGCCCGCCCGCCTTGGGGAGGCCATGGGGCAGGAGGAGCGCCGAGCCCCGTGCAAGGGGCCCAGCCCCAGGACCCTTCGTCCCCAGAGGCCCTGGGACCACGCACGCCCAGCCTTGAGCTGGGCTCAGTCACACGCCTTGGGTGGGTTGCTCGCACACACCCTGTGCCTCCCAGAGATGCCAGGGCGCAGGTGTGGGTGTGACTGAGGCTGCTGAGGGCGGGGCTCTGGGGTCCGCTGAGGCCGCCCACCTGCCCCCTCACTGACCCCCGAGGGGCAGCGGACACACACAGCCTCCTCCCAAGCCCCTCGTGGCCCAGCTCTGGCCCCGTGGATGTCCCTGCTGGGATGTGGTGCCCGCCAGCCTGTCCCACGGGGGAAGGCCCCAAGGTGAGGGCCCGAGGTCACGGATGGGTCTCTGCCAGGGGGGCTCCCTGGGTTCCTGCCCTGTGTGCCCAGAGCCAAGCTGCCAGCAGCTCCCGCAGGGACCTCATGGGAGAGGCAGAGCCAGCAGCTGGGAGAGCACAGGGAGCCCGGGCCTGGCCCCAGCCCAGCCAGTGGAGCAGAAGAGATGGGATTGGAAGGCACGGGCTGGGCTGGCAGCCTGGGGAGGGCCCATATGGCACTGGCCCCGGCCCCCGGGAGGCGTCCCAGGGACCTGAGCCGTCTGGAGGCATCGGGGTGTCTGTCCCCCAACCCCGTGGGTGGGTGTGACCGGCAGGGGGTGGCCTGGTGAGGAGAGGCCGCCCTCTGCCACAAGACGTCTTCCGTGAGCAGGAAGTCCCGCCTCCGTTCTTTTTGTTTAATCCTCACCTGAGGATA